GAAAAACATCCAAGAGAGGTGAATGCTGTATATCTTGCTTTTTATTGCTTTCCATCCCTTTCGAATCTCTTTTTCATCCCCGCTGATCCTTCCTCGTCCCTCCTCCTCCTCCCCTCTCGTCGCCGTCACGACAGCACATCTGAATTAGCTCCACCGCGGTGCCGTGCAGGTCCCCGTTTCTTTCTTTTTTAACTCCCTTTATGCTTATCTCCATCTCTGCAGACGCATCTATGCAACGAAACAAAGCGTCCCTTTGATTCGGCACTTCACAATGACAGGGCGAACGCAGTCAGTTACACTGCGGCAAAGATCTGCTCACAAAGAACACAGGACAACACAAGAAAGTGTTTAGAGCTTTAAACTTTAAAAAGCCCTAAAGATGTGAGGGAAGTGGCGCAGGTTTGATTTCTTATCTACCACGCACACCTATCTGTGGTTTGCATCTACCGGCACTGACAGTTTCCTCTCCTCAGCATTATCTCGCCATCGTCTAGACAGCAACTTCTAGACTTTTGCAACATCAGGCAAAAAAGACCCCCCTCCCCTTTTTTCTCTTTTTTAACTTCAGCAATTTCTTGCTCCGATGTACTTTTATGTCGTTTCTTTACAAGTTCCTAGTTTGATGTCTGACTAACAAGGTTGTCACCGACACAATCCCTTCTGTTTTTTTGAGGACCCTCTGCAGGACACCAGCCTCATTAGCATCACACGTCCTGTCGTGGTTATGTGGCCAGACGTTCGCTGGGTAATTTGTAATGACATACTTCCTTCTGCAGTTTGAATTTATACTATGTACACACTACCACATCAGCTGAAGCAGGTATCGACTAGTGCAGCGCCTATAAAAAGCAGCATTTTACCCCAAAAAAAGACTCTTTAATGTCAAAGTGAAAACAGATATCTACACAGTAACGTCAGTTAATCAAAAATATTAAATGTAAAACAAGCGTCTACATAAGAATTCACCACAATCAGGTCAGTATTGAGCAGATGCACTCGCCATCATGATTCTAGCACTGAGCCTGTGTTGGTCTTCATCAGTTTCCAACATCTGGACGCTGTAAATGTACCTCATTCTCGTTTTTAAAAGTGTTCAAGTTCTGTCAGGTTGCACAGGAATCATCAGTGGATAAAACTTTTCAAGTTCAGCCACAAGTTCTCTGCTGGATTTAGGTCTGGGCTTTGACACGGCCTCCACAACATTCACCTTGTTGAATCATGACTCTGCCACCACCATGCTCCATAGCGCCTCGTCTGATGTCCAAAAAACTCAATTTTGGTCCCATCACAACCAAAGAACCTTCTTCCACTTGATTTCAGTCTCCTACATGACTTTTGATGAACTCTAGTTGAAATTTAACATGACCCTTAAGGTTTGTAACTTGTTCAGAGGAGTCATACGTGTCTTGGTGCCCTCACTTCACTCGTCTCTCATCAAAACTCCAAATTAATCTGATCTCTAGTCAGTGTTGAAAAGCAAAAAAAAGGGGAAAAAAACATCCAAGAGTGGTGAATAATTTTATAGGTCCTGTAGAAGATCAGAAAGCAGGTTCATTTGGAATTTCTAAATATTTATTTGCATTTATTTGACCTTTTAAATCTGTCACTTTCACAAAAAATCAGACTTTGATTCGCCTCAGAAGAAAATAAATGAACAACTCCACCAATGAACACCAATTCATCGTCTCTGAAAACATCACAAATGTCCAAAAACATGAAGAAATTCCACGTTAATGCCACATTAAGGGCATTTTACTGGTCATTACTCAGCCTTTTATGATGAAAAGTAAAATAATTAGTGAAGGTAAACTTTCTAAAGTTTAAAATAATAAATATATTATCGGGGTTATTTCGGCTCTGACCTGAAATTTGTAATGAAGAGCCGGAATTACAAAGTGGGGCTGTTGGGCTTTAAGGTGGAATGGAAGGTCTAATGAAAGATGGCCCCGATTTGCATCATGGGAAAGGTGTCAGGTGTTTTAGTTTGAGCTCCAAACTCCATATATACTTTCACCAGTACGTACTGTTTGCAGGCAGCGTGCACACAAGCAGAACACGCTGCTTTATCTTTATACTGTGCATGAAGCCGTGACCGCCTCATATATCTGCTGCAGAATTAGCTGTCACCTGCTTGTTTTTCATTTGCAAGACACCGAGACGCATCTTTGCAGAGGATTGTGTGTCAGAATGGCCAGAAAAGCGTTGAAACTGCAACTGGAGAAAGTAGGACATCCTGGTGTTTCCGTTATCCGACAGACTACATGAATCTTACTCTGGCGTACGCTTCGGTCGTGCGTCTGTTCGGTTTTCCTGCTTCCAGCTCTCCTGTTGTTTCAGACCAGGCCACTCCCATCCTCCTTGCTTTCCCACCAGTTGCATCACCTGATCTTCCCGCCCTTCACGCTCATCTACACCCGCGTCACTCATTAATATACATAAATATATATCAGAAGTTTAGGCTCCGGGGTTCGTCAAACTCGATACCATCACGTCTCGGCCTGCGCAGCTTTGATCCTGTGAGTCTCCCCCCCCGAAAAAATTATTTAAAAAAAAGTCTAAAACACAAAAATACGACTTTAATTTAAATGAAACCCGTAACATTCAGAGAAACGACGAGTTAAATCCGACATCATCGCGTTGCATCATCGTCTCCTTCGCTCGCTGGTGTTCTGACGCCACGAAACATCCCAACTGCTAATTAATACCGAGCGCTGCGGCGAGGAGTTGTTCATCTCTCAGCCGGCGATAAAGCAGAAACCCTGAAGTTTTAACGGCGGCAAATTACATTAGTGATGTAAGAATACGGGCTTCAATTACTGAAACAGAGACGGATGTGCCGCTAATTAATTTGCGATTAAGAGGGACGGCGCTGCAATCGCCTCCGTTCATCACGACCGAAGGAACGTCGCTTTAAAACGGTTTTACGGCTAAAGACGGAAAAAGTAAAGTTTTCTTTTTTTATCAGCGACACACGAGGGAAGAGCTCAAGGAGGGAAAAGTGGCTCCAATCTGTTAACGCCGGCGGTCGGTGTGTGGTTCAGCGTCCATTTTGTCTCAGTTTGAAAATAGATTTAGGCTGAAGAAAGATGGCCTGTGGAGAAAGCGGGAGCCGTGTGCATGCGTCATCCAGCAACTCTGACTGCTTATAGAGGTCATCAATATAACTGTAATATTTTCCTGCACAGCTGCAGGCAAAGAAACTCTTTAGCTCGGCGAACGTGAGCAGATACAAGCGGCAAAAGTAATCATCGCTTTGACAGTGACTTCATGCCGAGTCTGGACATGGGCGGTGTAAAGGCTGCGCGTAATGGCTTATATTAATGGATGTGTGTGTGTNTGTTTCCTCAAGAACATCCCTAAAACATCTGCAGAACGCTCCAGGGAGAATGTTCCGTCTTTGTTTATACATCACATTACAGTAATGTCTTTTGAAAAACATCTGGAGAACATTTTTGTTCTTGTGAAGTGCAACAGAAGCTCCAGCCTCGGTGCAGGACTCAGACTCTGTCAGAAGTGGGTTCTTGAGTGTGAGTTCTAGTGGGTTCTGCTGATGAAGCCCGAACGCTCGCCGAGCGGTGGGAGAAACAGCAACCTGGTGCTTCAACGTTTTATCTCCGTCCCATCACCACGGCTACAGATATGCTTATTAACATGTTTATAGCCTTAATTATAATTACTATCATTCTTCCGTGAATCAGCAATTAGTTTTGGCTGCACTGTAATGTGCATAATTCAATTTCTCTCTTCAGTGCGTCCGTGCTGATTGCTGGAGAGGACGCTGCCCATTGTTGCCGTAATTTGCATCTAACTCGGATTCCTGTAGAGGAGAAGCTGGTTCTCCGGTGGAACATCACGCCTGCAGATAGATGTCAAACCTGTGGTGCTTGGCGGCGCCTCTGGAGCTACCGGCCGGCGACGTGGTGGAGATGTTGCAGTGGGCGAAGCTGGACTCGCAGACGTTCCCCTGGCGAGGCGGGGAGGGTCTTTTGCAGTACTGAGGGAACAAACAGAAACAACAAGAACGTTGTCGTGTTACATGTTGGCAGGAATTCTTCACGTCTGTTTCTGCAGATGAGCTTAAAGACGTGTTTTTGTAAATCATGGGAAGCAGAGTTCCTTCTCAGGTTGGAGCTCCCCACCGAGAAAACGTTCTAAGAAAGTTTGACAAAGTTCTACTTGTGGTTTAAATTCTTTTAGATCCCAGAATGTTCTTCCAAAAGGTGACAACTAAACATGTTTGGTGTTCACGTTAACACTGTTATGACCCAGCGTTCTCAAACCTGCATGTTGCACTGAGAACATCCTTTCTTTATTATCGCTGTAGAACGTTGTGAAAAGGTTTTATAGATCCTAGAATGTGTTCCCTCAAAAGGAACGTCTTAGAAAGTATGTTCTGTCATCAGATGCTTCGACAACATCTGGAGAACGTCTGTACAATGTTGCTTTCAGGACGTTCTTCCTTTGTTATCGTGGAAAACTGTAAGAATGTTTTGCAGTAATAGGTTCTACAATGGGTTTCTTCCAGAACATCCCCAAAACATCTTCAGAACATAGAATGTTGCATCCTTTTTGTTGTTATTATTGTGGAAAGATTT